TTTCGGATCTGTCCTTACTATTGCGAAATTTAGGTTTCTTTTTTTATCATTATTCTTCAAGAAGAAAATCGTAAAAATGAATATAAAATTTAATTTTTGTTTAACTTTAGAACACCCCGTACATCTCGCAATACAGTTAAGCATTGACACTTTTAACACATTTTAAACATGATCAGTGTAAGTAGATGAGTTTTTCAATAATGGGGGTAGATAGGTAGGAGATCCCCTCCCTTGGCAAGCTTATTGCTCTGATAAGTCACAATATCGACACAATGTTTAAAAAACATAGAAACCAAACACACTAACTCACCCTAGACAAAAATTTTCAGTCTCTCTCCAGTCTCTCAGTCTTTCAGCGTCTCTAAGAGCGTCTCTCACAGTCTCTCAGTTATTGCCTAGATGTTTTTATGGATTTCTCGCAGTCTATGTATGAGAGACTCGAACGATAAAATTGTTAACTCAGAGATTCGAGTCTCTCGTTTAGAGATTCGAGTCTCTCGTTCAGAGACTGGATACGAAATGATGATCTCTCTATGAGCGACTCGAGTCTCTCGCTCAGAGACGCTAAACAGTTTTTTTGACAGTCTCTCGACAGTCTCTCTCAGCGACACCAGAGAGACTCGATGAGAGACGGAGACTCGAGTCTCGCTTTCAGAGAATCTGAGAAACTGAACATTTTTATCTCGGGTATATAAACTTACAGCTACTGAAACTGTACGACTCCCCTTGGGAAAAATTTCTCCTTACGCCCATGCTTATGTTAATCTTTTTGGATTTCTTTCAGAGCATTTTTCAAACTATGTTACGTTTAATTCTGTTTAGCAAAGGAACTGTTACAGTAAAATGCTGGAATTCTAGAACTAATGCAATTTGTTTACATTTCCTTATATAAAATTTTCATTGAGTTATTTCATTCTATTTTGTAACTGTATTAGAATTTGGGTAAGAATTTCGCTAATAGGTCTTGTGTATTTAATTTTTATTTAGACATGCAAGCATGTGTAAGTTTTGGTTTTGTTGTTGATCTTGCTAAATGTGCAAGACCAAGGCAAGACAACACAAAACTACAAGAACAAGACTATATTTGGTCAACACTAGAGGTTTGTAAATAACAATTAATAATGTTTATAGGCAAGAGCAGAAAAGACAGTATCATATGATAACGGTCCCGATGGTTCGATAGCCGAAGATTCTTATTTTGCTTTGAAAGCATACAATATGGGTTACACATTCGACTTCATCGAGGGTGAAATGTGGGAAAAATCGCCTTTCAGCATCCTGGACTTCACCAAACAGCGAAAAAGATGGTATCAAGGAGTGCTTCTGGTGGTCCATTCCAAAGAACTTCCATGGTCCAAACGAATTTTTCTCGCCTGTCAGGTGTACAACTACATCTTTCTGCCTCTTCTCACATCAAACATACTGTTCTCCAGCGTATACCCCGTACCGTATCCAGCATTCATAGACTACGTTTCGTCGTTTATAACGGCAGTGAGCGTCTACATGTTCATTTTCGGTGTGATCAAATCGGTGGATGTTAAGAGGGTAGGCCTCGTACGGTTCGCGGCGTGTTTATGTAGCATAGTTTTCGTCATACCGATCAATGTGCTCTTAGAAAACATTGCTTCCGTTTGGAGCATTATCGGTAAAAAGCATCAGTTCGACATAGTGGACAAAAAGATTAAATTAATGATTAACTAATTTCAAACCCATTACGACAAATTTCACGTACGTCAATTGTGGACTTATTCTTTCTCATCTGTACATATTCCCATTTGTGATTCTTTTATGTAATTTATGATATGTTTGTATTACTATCTATTAAACACAGAATATTTCATACATTGTTGTTTTATTGCTTATTTATACGTATTGTTTGTTTATCACAATAAAATGCATAATACTTAGACATCAATATCTCTTTTGATGTAACTTAACAGCTACAAAATTTTATTAAAACGTTGTTATACCTAATATGATAATCAGTACTAATTTTATAGGCATGAAGGCGAACGTTTAAACAAATTTTTAAGAATGATATTTGGTAAAAGAACACTTTTTGAAAACTTTCACTCAATTTTTATTAAATTCTTAACAAGTTTCGACCTGCAAGGCCATCTTCCGAAGAAGGATTGATGCTATTAATGCTATATTAATCCTTCTTTTGAAGATGGCCTTGTAGGTCGAAACTTGTTAAGAATTTAATAAAAATTAAGTGAAAGTTTTCAAAAAGTGTTTTTTTACCAAATATCATTACGATCAACTTTCATATAGTAGAGGCCAACTGTATCAATTTTCTCAAGTGTATCTATATAGTTTTCATTTAACGTAAGTAGGTAAGTATGCATTAAATTTAATGTTTATTGTTTTATTTATTTCCAGAGGGGCGGTCAACTAATTAAACAAATTGTTTGCTTTTTGTACTGCTTCGATTTATTTAAACCATCTTCAGACTTTTTCAAGTATTACTGCTTGTACACAAATTTTAATTTAAAATGTATAACATTCTTTCTAGATAGATTACTTGGTACTGTTTCAATCCAACATCACAAAAGCTTTTAATGCATAATTATGAAGTGTCGTTTCGACTGCTTAAAAACAGTTCCGAATATCAGAAATAGCTTGTGAGTTTTTAACAGCAACATGTGAAGATCGCTGAATTGGTCAAAGTGACTTATGACTTACTTGATCCCCGGACTTAAACCTTCTTGATTATTGTAGGTACTATCTATAATGTCATCTGAAGTAATTAGTTGACACTATTAAAAGTTGAGGAAGATTTGAGAAATCGGATTATTCAATACGAAAAAACTCCAATTAGTTAATAAGGAGCAGATAGGAAACGCATTCTACAACTCTAGTAGTCATTTTCAACAGTTATTGTAGATTAAGAAGCTTTACATATAATATTTAGATTAGATATTACAGTATTATTGTCGAAAAACTTTTATCGCCCTGCAACTTCATAATAAATAAAACGCTTTCAAAAAAATAATTAATAAATATATTCTTAGAATAACTCTGAAAATAACTTCTTCAAGTTGCGTCATAGCCTAATAGACATCCCGCATAACAGTCTATCAATTCTGTATTCAGGTGAATATATGTTTATTCGGATACAATATTTTGCTAATTAGGCCTATTTTTTAATTAGTAGTGAAATGTTACACTTTTTGAAGTGAAACTTCTTTACGCACGGTAGGGTAAGTTCATTTTTATGCGAGTTGCTATGTACCGAAATCATGCAACGCATTTCCCCCGCTGTCTGTCCCTATGTATGCTCAGATCATTAAAACTACACAACGAATTTTAATGCGGTTTTTTTAATACATAGAGTAATTCAAGAGGAAGGTTTATATGTATAACACATGCATAATATAGTAGAGAAACATTGACAATTTTAAAGGTTTGTAATGTGATGTTGTAAATAAACACATTTTTTTTGCGCTTACATTGCAAACGCTGGCTGAACCCTACGAGATAGATCAAAATAATATACTACAGTATTGTACACCTTAAAAAGGTCTACAAAAACGTCCGGGATGGTATATGTCTATCTCTTTGGAATAACCCACAATAATCATTTTTTATCCTTACTATATTTACTATCAGCATTGCACCCGTGGGAAGCATAGTGTATAAATAATACCATTAAACCAATTCCTTAACCCCTATGTATGTTTGTGTGTTTGAAGAAGTTTCACTTCAGTAGCGTGTTGTACAATTACACGTTGTACTTTTTTTTTTCAGTCCACATCATTCGCCTGTAATACCACGTTTCGAACACTTCTAACCTTTTCTTTTCCGTCGAGTCTATTGTCCATATTTCGCACCCGTACACTGCCGCGTTCCGAACATACATCTTTAACAACCTTTTTCGAATTTCTAAATTAACCGTTTGCGAGCACAGAAGTGACTTCTTTTTATTGAAGGCGACACGACCATGCGCTATTCTCTGTTTTATATCCCTACTACTTCTTCCGTCCTGACTTATATCTGACTTTCTAGATATCTAAAATCAGCCACTTCTAATTTTTCGTCTCCTTTCTTTATATTCGTTCTTTCCCTACTTTTTCTTCCCTTGCGTACCAGTATTTTTGTTTAACTTTTATTTATTTTCATACAGTACTGTTTTGGCAGTACCGCTTCCATTTTATTTAAAGCTATCTCTAACTCCTCCTTGCTAGATGCTGATACTGCTATATCATCTGCAAATCTAAGCATACTAATCTTTTACCCTTCTCTATCTATCGCTACAGTTGTACTGTCTTTAATGTAGAGGTGACAATGTGCATCCTTGTCTGACTCCCTTCCTAATATTTACTTCTCTACCATTCCATTTAAAATAACAAACATGGCATCAACTTTCAGGATAACCGGAAAATTATTTCAGTTAAAACGATCATAAGATAATCAATCCCTACTGCCATGTTTTCAGATCTCTTACACGTTTAGTTTCCCTAAAACGTTTAATTCAGGTACCACTCAGTTTGAAAAACCCTGTATAAACATAAAGAAGAGGATATTAGAAGTAATCTAAACTAATCTACAATATTTATTGGTTACAACAACTGTATTTCTTAGACATTTTTAATTTTTAATAGTGGTTAATATGAAATATTAATTTGAAAATTCATTTTAGAATTTTTATCCGCCACAAACTACTTCAAGTTAATGTGGAAAATCTTTGTTGCCGTTGTCACGCCCTTGCCGGGAATCGAACCTGAGACCTTTGGCTTTACGCACCAATGCTATGACCACTAAGCAAGTTTCCCACATTAATTTGAAGTAGTTTGTAGTGGATTAAAATTTCCAAAATGAATTTTCACAATATAATTGTGTTTCTTATAACGAACTGGAAATATTTTCATGTGGTAAAGGCTAGTAATAAATTAAACAGAAAACAGTTGGATGCTTTACCTTGTTTTATTAGTATAAAAAGATCACCTGTAAAAATTAACATTACAGCATTTATCAGATAACAAAAACTTATTCAATCCTAACATTCGCTAAAAATTTTTATGCACGCGAAGTTTTATTGTAGTAAACACGTGTATGTACACGTACAATTGAGATAAAAACATATTAAGCATAGGAAAAGGATATTTCCATCTCTATCAAGAGTTCATACATTTGTCCCTCTATACGAAACCCAAACAACTGCATTTACTGCGGAATGAACCAAAAATAGACTATTTCACAAGGTATATCAGTTGTCACCCGAACTAAACAGATACGAATATTGAAATTCCGTCATATGTGACGAATAATAGTACCGCATGTCTACCTTTCTCGCTTTCGGTTCGAGTAGCAAACGACACACGGCATGATACAGCCCAATACGGCCAGTGCCAGTGGTGCCTGATATTTACACTATTTTCGATCGCAAAGGAAATTACTATAGTCGGTATTGCTTTACATTTTATAGATTGATTTATTTGTAGTATTACACAGAATATAAAAAAGATATATATAATAATGTACTACATTACAATATATGTGTTGCTTCATAAACATTTTAAGGTACCTACACGAAGCGATTTGTATAAAAAATGATATTAATTAATAGTCGAGGCGGTATCTGTTTTGGGTGAAAAGGGTAGTATGCTAGATTTTCGTTGTAAACACTTCCAATAGTCTTAAGGAAACGAATTTTCACTATGCGGACCGGCGGCTTAACTTTTTATTAAACATCTAGTTAAGAAAATCTTGTTTCCTTTATTAAATTACGGCGTACATCTCAAAAACTATTAGCTTAAGTGAAATGAGGAAGAAAAATTTTCGTAATTACATTTCCTACAAGGCGCGGTTGTTTGCAAATCAAAAAATTAAATTTCTCCATTGTAAAAAAATAAATAAAAATATATATTACTTGCAGATTTTTTTTCATACTTATGCTACTTGTTAAACTTTCATACTTGGTTAAAGAAAAATTTTTATTATAATAAGTAATCACACTAAATTTCATCTAGATCGGATTTATAGTTTTTGCATAATAATTTAAGCTGTGTGGAAAAAGAATGTCAAATATTTTCACGTCTAAAATGCTCAGCAACAATTTGAAAATTTGAATTTATTTACACAGCGTAAATTACAAAATAATTACCTATGCAAAAACTATACATTCGATCTAGGTGAAATTTATTGTGATTATTTATCAAAATAAAAAGTTTTCTTTAGCTAAGTATGAATGTCTTAGGGGTAGTATAAGTATGTGAAAAAAAATCTTCAAGTTAGCACATATTAAGTTTTTTTGCGTTTTTAAATTTTTAAAATCGAAAAAATTAATTTTGTGATTTGCAAACAATCGCAGGAAATTTAATTACGAAAATTTTTCTTCCGCATGACTTTTCTATTAAGTCAATAATTTATGATACGCCGTAATTTGATGAAGAAAACGATTTTTTTTTTGATACACAGTTTTGTGTCTGCACAGTGAAACTATCTTTCATTATGACTTTTGAAATTCCAACAAAAATTTAGCATACCTACTACCTTTTTCATCCAAACATAACATATACCGCCTTGTACTATAATGACTAAAACTGTTATATATGAATATAAAAATTGCGGTTATTTCAAAGCCACTAGTTGCTCAGTTGGTTTTCAATACAACTCTGAAATTGTTTAACTGGTATTATATACAACTAAAATTATCTTTTGTACACTTAATACAATGATAAAAACTAGTCATGAAACTAGAAATACTACACCAAGAGTGCTCCAAATAGTATAGGGGGGGGGGTCATTTTATATACCTAGTTAACAAATTAATAAAGTAAAGAACTTTCAAATAGGTATTGGTAAAGATAAGGGCATGTCAAAAAACTACTACAATTTAGTGTTTTCTTATAGAAATAATTTAAACAAAAAAATAAAAAAATTTAGGAACTATTCGGTTTTTCTGTTCATGTATTTGTAACTTTTGTTTTAATTTTCTTTAATGAATAGTAGACTCACTGATCTTATGTTTTTATGAATATATTCAAAAGCCAACGAATTATGCACTTAAATGCCTAGATTGTGGAACCATAGTTCGGAGGAAGTAGCTCCACAAATGAAGATGAGGTAGGGCCCTTGTGTTTCTGTGTCTCTTCCGTTATCCACGAATAACTATTTAATGTTCTAAAAGGTTAACCAACGATCCCATCTTCATTATCATACGGTCATCAACCCTAGGACTAAAATATTCCACATCCCTAACTATTTGTAAATAGTAATATATTCTCCTTTGGTCCTTATTACTCCTCTCGCTGCTTTCTGGACATTTACCAAAATTACAATGAAATACTTGCCGATTTTTTGATACATTACCTTAGCCATCTATTGTGCGCATTGAAATTTTGTTCTGTTTTACCTTGATAAATACTTTATACAAAATAGTATCACCTAAATTTATCAATTCTCAAGAAAAAGACTACCATATTGTATTTTTTTTTTGGTTATAAAAATTTTCTAAAGCAAAGCAAACTGACTGAAATTTGCTTTCACTGTAAAAATAAAATATTCATTAACTAACTGTCAAGTCATACTTAACATGCTATAAGCACAAGAAGGAAACCTATTGAGAAAACCTATATGTCATATGATAAAAGAGCAGCGCTATTTACATTAACAGGTCATATCACATATTATCCGTTTAAAATTTAACAATCATTTTCGTTTCGCCACTTCTGATTAGCTTCACGACGTGCATCTGGAACTAACTGACTTTTCATCCCACCTAAGACATTGTTCGTGGCTTCTGATGCTATAATGATTGGTTTGACAAAAGTAGGAGGAATTTGCCTTAAAACTCCCCCTACTGCACCACTGTAACCTTTTTGTTCATGTTCTTGATGTGCTACACGCACAATATTGTCAGCTGTTTCACCAATTCCCTAAAATAAAATAATTAATATAGATATTTCTGATTTACTTGCAAGTTGCATTTCCTATATTTGCTGAACTTAAATATGAAAGATATATAGATAAAAAAAATATGAAATTATTATGATGATTACTTATTTTTACTACTCAAATATAAAAAATTTAAAAGGTAAATAATTTACTCATTTTGACATTTTAAAGGAAGCAGTAATAAGAAAAAAAGTTTCATTTAAAAACGCCATTATACCTTTCCTTTAAATTTATAACTAATTGTAAGTTTAAATTGATACATTACACTGTAACGTTACACTTTTCTGAGACTTTAAATAATATCGCCTCGTAATGGCCTAATGATGAATACCTTTTGAAGGATATTAGAGATGCATTATATCTGGATTCAAAAGTTACATGAGACTTAAAACAAGAAACAAAAGACAATACTATAACAACTGCGGTGTTCAATTTATCAACTAGAGCGTAAAAGAAGTCCATATTTGAATTGTGAGAAGCCATCAAATCTTCTATTAGTATCGTTAGTTTAAGTTATAAATAATAAAATTAGTAATAAAACATAAAATTCGGTTTAAAAAATGACATTTCTAAGACGATAACAATTTTATACGAGTATTGTGTACTGCTTTCAGATAAACGCAGACAGTTTTAAAATAAGCCCCGTTTTTATTAGTGACGGCTGGTTGAACGAATTTTTTTAATATGATAGTGTCAATGTGGTTTGGAGCTTAAATTTTTGATGTGTAACATCTTACCGATTCGATATGGGACTAATTTCATGCATCAGAAATCTTAGAACATGTATATTATACGCTCTAAGTCGGAAATGTGTTATACTAAGTGTAGAGGGAGTTAAAATCGATACTACCCACTGTTGGTGCTTGAAAAGATAGAGGATAGAGAGAAAAGCGTGAAAGAGAAAGAAACTCCAGCTGTAAACATTTAACAGCACGAAGTATATCACTGCAGCTGTAAGTGTTACGTTAAAATAAAATTTAAATCACTTCAGTATTTAATTATTCCTACATCAAATATGATTTGCGACTACGGAAATACCACTTTGTTTTATTAATTTTTTTTGAAAGCTAAGTAAATAAATAAAAGATACGTGAATTGACATTAAAATGAACATGAGATATAATCAAATGTAAACAAAAACATACTTCTTTAACGACCATGTAAGCATTTGCTACGCCTTCTCTGATATCTTGAGGTTGAGAGTATCGCTTCTTATGACCTTTTGCTTTTGATCTTCTTTTTACACTAGGACCAGGAGACACCATATCGTAGGCAGTTTCAGCGGTCATCTACACAAAAAATAATTGCAGATATATAAAAAAAAAACAATTATAACGTACTTGTATGAGATGTATAATTCTTGAAGTAAGTTCTAAAGCAGCCATTGCAGTGGATGTAGTAAAACTGTTAGCACCACGTTGAAGACCTCTTACAATACGGCCATCCTTTTGATATTGCTCAATCGGCAACCAAAATAAGTCTCGAATTCCTTGAACTACAATATTGATGTAGCTTATTTTTCTACTGGAATATTTATCTAGTTCAAAACTTACATAATTGTACTAAAGAATGCATAGGCCCCACTCCACCCAAAAGGCTAGGAAGTTGATTTTTCTTTATATCATTCAACCATTCAAATAAACAATAACTAAGAAGTTTATCTACACCGAGAATACCGTGTCTGTTGCTTATACGTTTTAGTTTTAATTCAGAACAATCAAGTTGACCTAAACCCATAATTAAACCTTGAAGAGGTCCGTGAGTAAAATCGACTCTTTTTCCATGATAATCTATTTTTATAAGAACTTCTGGGGAAAACACAACACTTCTACAATAAAAAAAACAACTAGTAAAATGTTGAAGTCCTTCTTTCACACATAATATTACCTGAAATAAATTGGCAGACCAACTTCGCTGGATGATGCGATTTTTTTTGGTTGTTTGTCATCTTCACTTCTCTTATTTTCTTCTAGAAGAATAAGTAAATTTTCATCCACTATTTTTTGGGCCTTTTCCGCAATTTCATTTTCATTTTCCACATTTACAGTCATTACAGGGGGCTGATGAGTTGGTGTACTGTGCTTCGACTGGGTAGTACTTGATCCCTCTAATAAAAATTTCGTCAATACGTTCTCTCAATTTCAATGTAATGGTAATAAATCTTATACATGTACCTGGTTTACTTTTGGCATTACTCAACTCACTAAAAAAGTCAATTAAGAATAATAATGAATCCTGATCAATATTAAATCTAAGCGGAAGCAATGAAATTTTTAAACAACACTCTTCAGTCTTTAAAGTTNAATTAAGTGAAAGTTTTCAAAAAGTGTTTTTTTACCAAATATCATTACGATCAACTTTCATATAGTAGAGGCCAACTGTATCAATTTTCTCAAGTGTATCTATATAGTTTTCATTTAACGTAAGTAGGTAAGTATGCATTAAATTTAATGTTTATTGTTTTATTTATTTCCAGAGGGGCGGTCAACTAATTAAACAAATTGTTTGCTTTTTGTACTGCTTCGATTTATTTAAACCATCTTCAGACTTTTTCAAGTATTACTGCTTGTACACAAATTTTAATTTAAAATGTATAACATTCTTTCTAGATAGATTACTTGGTACTGTTTCAATCCAACATCACAAAAGCTTTTAATGCATAATTATGAAGTGTCGTTTCGACTGCTTAAAAACAGTTCCGAATATCAGAAATAGCTTGTGAGTTTTTAACAGCAACATGTGAAGATCGCTGAATTGGTCAAAGTGACTTATGACTTACTTGATCCCCGGACTTAAACCTTCTTGATTATTGTAGGTACTATCTATAATGTCATCTGAAGTAATTAGTTGACACTATTAAAAGTTGAGGAAGATTTGAGAAATCGGATTATTCAATACGAAAAAACTCCAATTAGTTAATAAGGAGCAGATAGGAAACGCATTCTACAACTCTAGTAGTCATTTTCAACAGTTATTGTAGATTAAGAAGCTTTACATATAATATTTAGATTAGATATTACAGTATTATTGTCGAAAAACTTTTATCGCCCTGCAACTTCATAATAAATAAAACGCTTTCAAAAAAATAATTAATAAATATATTCTTAGAATAACTCTGAAAATAACTTCTTCAAGTTGCGTCATAGCCTAATAGACATCCCGCATAACAGTCTATCAATTCTGTATTCAGGTGAATATATGTTTATTCGGATACAATATTTTGCTAATTAGGCCTATTTTTTAATTAGTAGTGAAATGTTACACTTTTTGAAGTGAAACTTCTTTACGCACGGTAGGGTAAGTTCATTTTTATGCGAGTTGCTATGTACCGAAATCATGCAACGCATTTCCCCCGCTGTCTGTCCCTATGTATGCTCAGATCATTAAAACTACACAACGAATTTTAATGCGGTTTTTTTAATACATAGAGTAATTCAAGAGGAAGGTTTATATGTATAACACATGCATAATATAGTAGAGAAACATTGACAATTTTAAAGGTTTGTAATGTGATGTTGTAAATAAACACATTTTTTTTGCGCTTACATTGCAAACGCTGGCTGAACCCTACGAGATAGATCAAAATAATATACTACAGTATTGTACACCTTAAAAAGGTCTACAAAAACGTCCGGGATGGTATATGTCTATCTCTTAGGGATAACCCACAATAACCATTTTTTATCCTTTACTTTTTACGAGAAATAATGGCTTATTTACGAAGCGATTTTAAGCAATACAGCATTAATCCTTATTCAATTAAGTACATTTAAATACATTGTGCATTTAATATAGATCAATATGGCCCTTTACAACATGTAATTTAAATGAATATTTTCGAAGATATTATACACTTAAAATGCAGGGACATAGCGGTTGCGGCGGTACCGGCCGGTTTTATTGTCTAATGACAAAAAAGCTGTGATTGCTGTATATAAAGACATTCTATAGTATATTTACCATCAACATTGCACCCGTGCGAAGCATAGTGTACAAATAATACCATTAAACCAATTCCTTAACCCCTATCTCGATATGTTCGTGTGTTTGAAGAAGTTTCACTTCAGTAGCGTGTTGTATAATTATACGTTGTATTTTTTTTCTTTTCTCATGATGTTAATAAGTATTATTAATACAAAGTAGACAAAATTGTACATCTTTTTCTAATCTTTTAATATGCACTAATACCGTTCTGTTTTTTTTTCCTATGCTTTTTGCAAATAACGAAAAGTGAAAACGGTGGTGCTCCTATTCGACGAGAATTAAAATGCTCCCCGCTGTTCGTGTAATAAGAGTGTTTACGTGGATAAGAGATGGCGAGAATGGCCACGTTTGTCAGCGGGGGTTTATCCCGTGCCGAACGGTCCCCTATCCGGGCGGCAACAGCGGCGTCTT